GCGCCCGGCCTGTATTAGTCTCTCTTATTTTTATTTATATTCATTCATTTATTTATTTTTTGAGTCAGAGTTTCACTCTTGTTAACCAAGCTGAAGTGCAATGGCGTGATCTCAGCTCATTGCAACCTCCACCTCCCTGGTTCAAGCGATTCTCCTGCCTCAGCTTCTGGAGTAGCTGGGATTACAGGCATGTGCCACCACGCCTGGTTAATTTTGTATTTTTAGTAGAGACGGGATTTCTCCATGTTGGGTCAGGCTGGTCTTGAACTGCTGACCTTAGGTGATCCACCGGCCTTGGCCTCCCAAGGTGCTGGGATTATGGGCATTAGCCACCGAACCTGACTTATTTATTTTTTTACTTTAAATTCTGGGATACATGTGCAGAATGTGCAGGTTCAGGTTTGTTACATAGGTATACATGTGCCACAGTGGTTTGCTGCATTTATCAACCTGTCACCTAGGTTTTAACCCCTGCATGTATTAGCTATTTGTCCTGAGTCTCTTTTTATTCTCTTGGTAATCTCTCCCAATTAACTGCTTCCATTGTAGGTGCTTAAATGGGTGAGACTTCACTTCAGACGTTGGCACTGCTATGAACATGGCCATTCCTGTTACTGTAACTCACAATCAAAACCTTTGATTCTTGGTTGTTTTTGAGATGGAGTCTCATTACTGTGGCACAGGCTGGAGTGCAGTGGTGAGATCTTGGCTGACTGCAACCTCCACCTCTCAGGTTGAAGCAATTCTCCTTCCTCAGTCGCCTGAATAGCTGGGATTACAGGTGTGTACCACCACACCCAGCTAATTTTTGTATTTTTAGTAGAGATGGGGTTTCGCCATGTTGGCCAGGCTGGTCTTGAACTCCTGACCTCAGGTGATCCATCCACCTCAGCCTCCCAAAGTGTTAGGATTACAAGTGTGAGCCACCGCACCTGGCCGATTCTTGTTTTTTTTGTTGTTGTTGTTTTTTTTTTTTTTTAAGACAGTCTCGCTCTGTTGTCCAGGCTACAGTGTAGTGGTGTGATCTCGGCTCACTGTAACCTCCGCCTCCCAGGTTCTGGTGATTCTCCTGTGTCAGACTCCCGAGTAGCTGGGATTACAGGTGTGTGCTGCCACACCCAGCTAATTTTTGCATTTTTAGTAGAGACAGGGTTTCACCGTATTGGCCAGGCTGGTCTTGAACTCCTGACCTCATAATCCACCGACCTCTGCCTCCCAAAGTGCTGGGATTACAAGCATGAGCCACCACGCCCGGCCCCTGATTCTTTTTTTATATCGCAGTCCCAGAAGTAGTTTCCACTATAGAAGTTAATTGATGAGTCTTATTCTTTCTTACTTATTTATTTATTTTAAGATGGGGTTTCACCATATTGGTTAGGCTGGTCTCAAACTCCTGACCTCAGGTGATCTGCCTGCCTCAGCCTCCCAAAGTGCTGGGATTACAGGTGTGTATTTATTTTTTAAATTCTTTTTTAAATGGAGTCTTGCCCTATCACCAGGCTGGAGTGCAGTGGCGGGATCCCGGCTCACTGAAACTTCCGTTTTCCAGTTTCAAGCAATTTTCCTGTCTCAGCCTCCCAAGTAGTTGGGATTACAGGCACACACCACCATGCCTGGCTAATTTTTGTATTTTTAGTAGAGATGGGGTTTCACCATGTTGGCCCAGATGGTCTTGATCCTTGACCTCATGATCTGCCCACCTCGGCCTCCCAAAGTGCTGGGATTACAGGCGTGAACCACTGCGCCCGGCCCGATGAGTCTTATTCTTTCTTTCTTTCTTTTTTTTTTTTTTTGAGACGGAGTTTCGCTCTTGTTACCAGGCTGGAGTGCAATGGCGCGATCTCGGCTCACCGCAACCTCCGCCTCCTGGGTTCAGGCAATTCT